CCCCTTTGATCAGTTGATATAAAAACCAATGGCGGTACTATCTGCCCGCCGTACTATCAGCCTTTTAAAAATGGGGCGTGTGTGTAGCTATAGTTCCGGTACTGGTGCATCATTTCGGAAATCCCTTGGGTATATATTCACTGTCTGACATGATGAGATAATAATCTTCTTTATAAACTATATAAACTATAAACAGCCAAGTCACTATTGCAAACATTAGGTGGAGTGCGAGTTTGGCCTGATTTGTAGCTTGTATATATGGACTATATGTGATAATGGGACAATTCAGTCAGGTGGTGAAGCTGATTATCATGACTGTAGCCATTGCTGATTACGGTTAGTGCAGCTAGTACAACTTATATAGAACATAGCTAACCGCCATAGCTAACGATAAACGTGCAGGTAACTGCCTTCGTTGTCTTTGCCAGTCAATGATAAACGGAGTGCCAACTACTGACCCACTACCAGAATGCGACGGCAACGCTACCTGTACAATCCCGCAACTACCGAACGGTGACCCCAGCGGACTGTGCTACAAGAAGGTGGAGGTTGTTGGAAGTGGAGGCGCGGTGATTCTCACATACTCCTGTGCAGATCTGAACCTCCACGGGCTCCAGGCCAACCCCAAACTGTGCGCGGGAACCGAGATATCTCGCGAGCAATACAAGGAAATTGTCTGCTGCTCAGGGCCCGACTACTGCAACGCTGAACTTTCTCTGCAGGCCAAGTCTCGCAGCCCAGAACTTTCTCCCAACACTGCCAACCACAGCTCCGACACAACCAATCAAAACGGTAGAGTGCATAACTGTTCGCTAGTGTAAGTAGTTAGCTATGATGATTGAATGAAACATACTGTTCTAAATTCTTTCACTTTGCAGGTGGTGATTGGTTTTCAGTTGAGGTTGGATTAGGGGTGTTTGCAGTGTTCATTGTTCTATCCGTGATCGCTGGGCTGGTGTTCTTTGCCACTGTTTTCTGCTACTGCAGAAGCCGCACCCAGCAACGCAGAACATAAAACATTTTTTGCATAAATCCCATGAACATGAAGTCAGTCTTTGATTCTTTTCAGGAGAGGGTTGAAACAGGTTACGTGTGAGCGCAAGCTCGCGCATGCGTAGACACGTACCGGAAAACTATTAGGCCGGGGGGGGGAGGGGTCGCCGACCGACTCGCATCGCCGAGTCGACTATAGTGAGATACGACTTGGGGGGTGTTACCGAGTGTTGTAGTTGTTACATGTTGTACGGCGGTCTGACATGAAGTTGGCGGGTAGAACGACTGCAAGTGTGGCGCTCTTTTTGGCCGTAGTGCTCTCCTCCTCATCATCAGGTAAAGATCCGAAGTTGTCTTAGCTGTTGAGGTGAAGTCTCTGATTGTTGTGTGTCGTCTCTTCTACTGTTCTGATTGTAGTTTCACGGCTCTCTTTGTGTGTACGTGGGGCGATGTCTCTAAAAACAGGTTTTTCGTGCCGACTTTCCTGATCCGCGAACTGTGGGTATACCGTTTTGTAGTTGGGTCCAGAGGCTTGATGTGCGCCACGCTAAGACTTGTGGATGCCATGTTTCATTTTGAACTATTGTAGGAAAGTCGGCCTAAGTCTAACACATGAACTTGATGATTGTTACCGCTTTCCCTATGTTATAGTTCACAGCTTGATTTGCCACTGCAAACAGTTCATCAACGTAGAGCTACCATCACTCCCTCCCGGCTGTTATCCCAATGGTACATGTGCGACAGATACCGGACAGTGCTTTCTCGAATTGAAGATTACTAAATTAGGTGGTCACAAGAGATATACGTATAACTGTGTTGAGGACAACCCCGATGATCAAGTATATAGAGTTCATGCTACGTGTACTCTGAACGTTCCCAGTGCCACACAAGTTGTCCTCTGTTGCAACAGTACTAATTACTGCAACAAAGACCTCAATCCTGACGACAGACTACTCACAGACCCTTCCATGTCTCCCGCCCCTTCACCACAGCTCACTGATGAGAGCCCAACCAATCAAGGTGCAGCATTATTGCGCGCATGGGGATATAAAACTACTATAATTATTATACTGTGTACATTGTACTACCGGGTGTTGGAATAGGGCCAAAACAACAGCAAGGGAAGGGGTGTGTATCAAATAAGGCAGGTCCCTTTTTTAGCTGTCCTGGTCGACGTGGTAAAGGCTCGTCTGTGTGGACGAAAAGCTTGAGACAAACTAAGGTTCAATGTGGATATTCATGATGTGTTATAGGTTTAGCAGAAGGATTATGTGTTGGTGTAGCACACGTACGTTACATGTGAGTGTGTCGTATCTTGCACCACATTGCATACCTTCATCTAACGCCACCCAACTATTTCTCCTGCATGTATGAATGGCAGGCTATGCCAGACTATATGTTGATAGCTCTTAGCATAGGTGTATTGAGTGTCAGTCCCCTGGGAATTGATATCGAGACAGCTAGCCGGCTAGTTTCAGTCAGTCAGAGTTCGACTGGAAATCGTGCACACATTGCAACACCACTATGGCAAGGGTTCGTGTGTAAGAGGGGGGGCCCCTCCTCTCTCACTTCGTCAAATATTCCACCCTGAGTATACCTTTTAATGCACGCAGCAAGTGCCCCCCCTCTTTTGTGAATGCACATCCCTCGCTCTAGTGGATCTGTTTCTAAACAAGCAGAAGGTTTATTATGGAAAACATGTGTCATCCCTTGTACGGTATACATAGGTGGAAACATTTGGGAACAAAAAACTCAAAAACTCATGTAATTCTTCACCGAAGGTTTCCGTATCCAATTTTCGTATCCAAAACTCTCATAGTTGGCCCAAAAACGGTGAAAGCAAAGTTTTCCTTCTTTGGTTTGTGTGGTGGTTGCTTTCTCTATTACTACTCCCCTTTGAAAAATAAACAAGCTTGTTCAAGCTGGTCTAATGTATTTCAAAGGGTCCTCGCCCTTCCTATGTAGTTCCTATTTACACACAGTGTGTATACTACCTATGTACAACCATCTTCCCTCTCTCCAGGACCAGACGTAGGGCTGATCTGTGGGATTGCGGCCCCGTTATTTGTCGCAGCCGTTGTTCTCAGCATGACCCTGTTCCTCATCTGCGTCTACTACCTGCGGAGACGCAAGCTCGTGGGGGAGCGGAACCGCCGCGTCCCGCAGGGAATGAAAGAGGCCAGGCCCACGGGGGAAATGGAGCTGATGGACATGACGGTTACGTCGGGGAGCGGCTCCGGCCTCCCCTTCCTCATCCAGCGCACCGTCGCACGCACCATCAAGATCACCGAGCTCATCGGGAACGGCCGCTACGGCCAGGTCTACCTCGGGTACTACCAGGGCGAACCGGTCGCCGTAAAGAAGTTCTTTTCGCGCGACGAAAAGTCGTGGTGTCGCGAAACGGAGATCTACAACACGCTGCTCCTGCGTCACGACAACATCCTGGGTTTCTTTGCGAGCGACATGGTGTCCAACAACGGTGTCACAGAGCTGTGGCTCATCACGCAGTACCATCAGTTTGGGTCTCTGTACGACTTCCTCATGCAGGAGGCCGTCTCCCCCAAAGTCATGCTCCAGATGGCCATATCGATGTGCAGCGGGCTGGCTCACCTCCACACGGAGCTGTTTGGGACCCAGGCAAAGCCGGCCATCGCCCACCGAGACATGAAGACAAAGAACGTCCTGGTGAAGAACAACATGACGTGTTGCATTGCCGACTTTGGTCTGGCCGTGTTCAAGAACATGAACGAGATGAACATTCCCACGAACCCCAAGCAGGGCACGAAGCGCTACATGGCGCCCGAGATTCTGAACGAGACCGTCAACATGAAATCGTTTGAGTCGTTCAAACATGTCGATGTGTATGCTCTGGGACTCATCCTCTGGGAGCTGTGTCGACGATCTACCGGAGTCAGCGGTGGGTCCACGCACTCTCTACCCCTTTCTCTGCACACTCTCTGGCATTACCTAGCATTTTAGCTAAAATTAAGGATCAAAGATACCGTTACCCGGCTTCATTTTAAAGTTTCCTTCCCTCCCCCTGCACTTTGTGTGTTGTGTGCCATATCGTTTGAACTCACAACCCATGGCAAGTTTCACCCTCTTTTCCAATGATATGTGGGTAGCAGGGAGATTACCTTTCCTTTTTAGCCCCCCATGTTTCTCATGCTACGCACTATAATATAGTTTTGAACTCACAACCCATGGCAAGTTTCACCCTCTTTTCCAACGATATGTGGGTAGCAGGGAGATTACCTTTCCTTTTTAGCCCCCCATGTTTCTCACGCTACGCACTATAATATCATGGTCACAACCCATGGCAAGTTTCACCCTCTTTTCCAACGATATGAGGGTAGCAGGGAGATTACCTTTTTAGCCCCCCATGTTTCTTATGCTATAATATGGTTTTGAACTCACCACCTAGGGCACATTTTACCGTCTCCCCAATGATAATAATGGCTTTGTTTGACTTGGCTGCTGGTCGCTTTCTAAACTCGTCTACTTTAACATGGCAGCTGGGAGGGCCAGATGGACTCGTACTGTTTATGTACCCCTGTAATGTACACAATGTTCTATTGTGTGTGGACACTTCTTGTACAGATAACTTCAACACTCGAATCTATCGTGCTTAATGTGAAACACATGTGTATTAGCACAGTACAGTAGCTATGAAAGTGTAAAACATGATAGAGAACCCCAAATCATCCTCAACTGCAAGTACACAAATTCGACACCATGAAAAGTATACTAGCCACAGAGAAAGAAAAGACACATGTATACATGTATGTATGTATTATTATGTATATACAGTATGTGTGTATATATGTATTATTATGTATATACAGTATGTGTGTATGTATACGTAGACACGCACACACAGGTAGGACACATTGAGAACTGGGGTGGTGCGTTAAAGAGTACATGTATTACTGTTACGGTGTGTGTGTTTTGTGTGATACTGTGTGTGTGATGTGTGTGCGTGATCAGTTTGTGAGTGTGTATTCTGTGATGTGTGTGCAGGTGTGCCAGAGGACTACGAGGTCCCGCTGCAGGGAATGGTGCCCCCTGACCCCAGTTTCGAGGACATGCGGAGGGTCGTGGTAGTCGAGAGAAGACAACCGCCCATCCCTCCCCGCTGGAACGCAGAGGAGGTATTATTATACAACTCTGCACAACACTGCTTAGTTCCCATTTTCATTAACCCTCGGCGTGCATGCGCAGCGAGGGGTTACGGTACTTGGGTCTGTGTGTCTGTTGCTCTCAATCTCACTTCTCGAGTGTTTGTTCGTCTCACAAAGGATACTACCTATACTTAACGGGCAATGAAGGTCAGAAATTTCGCTGGAACGCAGAGGAGGTATTATTATACAACTCTGCACAACACTGCTTTAGTTCCATTGTCTTTGAACCAGTGAGTATACATATGCTATTCATTAGGAGTGCTGAATGAAGGGATGGGCTGTAGAGTATGGTGTTCCTTAGCAACTTTAATATGTTTAGTACCAGCATACATGTTCATGTAGTTATACCACGTGTACTAGGGTGTTATCACAAATACCCAAAGGAATGTGTTGATAATCCCCAGGCTGCAGCCATTGGGGTTATCACACATGGGAAAACATGGCAGTAGGCATGGTATAGTTTATTTATACCATGGTATCGGATTGCGTCATCATTTTCTGACCATATTATTTTTGGGCACGGCTGTGGACCCGCCGCCATTTATAGCTGCCAGGTCGGTCGGACCGAATGCTCGTCTCTTTGACGATTGCACCATTGCAGGCGTCCTTGGCGAAAAGTATGCAGATGAGATGGTTATGAACCGCCCAAAAACTACCACGGTCAGTCGTCCTTCTCTGCCGAGTCAAGCGTGAGTAAACACACTGCGTAAAGAATGCTAACTTGGGACAGTCTGTGCCTCCTTTAGCGCTCCAGAAACATTGTAGGCAGAAAGTAAGCCTGGAAAGGAGTGGTTTAGCCATGTAATCTACCCGCTGATGCTTCGTGCATGCTAAATTCGCCACTTCTTGTTAGAAAGAACGAAGCTACATGTAACCTTCTGTACTCCGAGCAGTTCACCACAAGGCTGTTTTCAAGGAGAAAAGTCGTAGAGAAGTTCTAGGACAGTACTCAGATATCACTTCCTGTATATTCCACAGGTCATCCTTGTTATTTCACAGGATATCCCGTGGAATATGGCGTACCACGCGGAATGCGGCACCTTTGAAAATATGCGCGACCATGGTACATATAAACATACATACACAAGGATGCTGTGGAGCCGTCTATACTCTAACTATCCATCTCTTGACGCGGAAGAGTTTTGTATGGCCTAGTATTTCTTTGTGTTTATATACACTGAAGTATGTACAAATTGCCTACTAAGTTGCTGTTCATGTGGAGGAAGCACGATGTCTGACCTCTGTACCCTACATTCTGCAATAGTCTGGTGTCATTTTCACACAGTTACTTCTAATTTGTATGGTTACACATTGGTTTAAACCCCCTGGGCTTAGTTAGCTTGTTCATGCAGCCAGTCTGCCAGCCAGCTAGTTATTATCAGACTCTCTGGCTCTGTTTGTGTCTGGGGTATGAATGGATAGAATGCGGGATTTGGCAGTAGAACCTGACCCCTAGTCAGGTTTGGAAGTGCACTGAGTCATTAGCCTCCTGTTACACTACATTGGTCCCCCTATTGAATAGGTAAGAGTGTGTACAGTATGTAGGTCTGATATTACTGTATATGGCAGATCTTTGGTTCCTGAGGCAAGCTTGTTTTGGTTTAAGGTGCCGTGATTATTCTTGAGGGGTCGGATTCATAGCTAACTCAAAGACTGATGTCTGGGCAGATGACAATGTTGTATGCATGAGTAGACTGGTGGGTGGGTTGGTGTGGGTGGTTAGTATGCAGGGTAGCATATTGTACATGTGAGCTGCAACCCTTATGCAGTATACGGGTACAGGTGGGTGAGTGGGAGGGGAGTACAAGCCTGTTTAGAACTGCGCCTGCACATCAGAAATATTCTCACGATTGTGACTCATCGAAACATGCGTGCAGTTTGGCAATGTACCGTTGTGTACGTTATAAGAATAAGAAAAATCGCCCTGTTCGAAGCACTAGGTTAGCTCGCTCCCACTCGCCAATTATGTAGAGGGAATGTGTGTGTGTAGGGAACTGGAGTGTGGGGCGGTGCTTAGTGGAGGGGACGTTGAGCGGTAAGCTGTGTGGTAAGGACAGTATTCTCTACTATGCTATATTATATTCTCTTTATCATCACAATTCACCACAAGTTTCTCTGTCCTGTGAATTTATTTATGTTGTGAGTTCCAGTTTGGATAATGTTTTGTATCGATCGTAGTAGGCCTGATTGTCTGCAAGCAGCAACCTCCACGTCCCTACATGTTCAGTACATGGCCACTGACTCTGAATAGTACAAAGTCCATAGTTCGCATAATGGTATTTTGTGTGTGGGCAAGCACAAACGTGTCGTACAGTTCTGTATTAGTCATGAAAATGGCACTGTGATTTGTAACACAGGAAGCTTACTGGGCTAGATCGCTGGTTGGCGAGGCCGTACAGGCGCAGCGATCTTGGAACATGTACTAGGACTGGAGGCGTGTCAAAGTGATCATGTGCGTCTGCAACGATGGTCTAGGGCCTCGAGAGACTGGCCGGGGTAGCGTCGGGTCATGAGCAAGTGCACCTATTCCACACTGCATGATCGCTGTGCCTCTATCCTGTCTTGGTCATTGCGAGCATTGTGTGGCTAATGTAGCACTTTTAGTTGCGACGTCTGCCTCGTAAAGGCCTAGGTTCCTGTGATCACTTTAAATCCTCCACAAATGCAGTCAAGGTACGGTAGCACGTGCTGTGTGTGTGATATGGTGCTTGGGTAATTTACCACGCCCCTTTTACATTCTTATGCTCGTACACAGCACCACAGCACTGACGTTTCGTACTTAACTTTTACATTCAGTGTATATACGTACCTACACCTCACCTGCCATTAAAACAGTTGCAGACATACAGTATTGATGATCTTCGAGTCACACACTGCTGAAACCCTACCTACAGTAATTATACGATTTCTGGCGGTACTGGTGTAGTACCAGCACTCTCTCATCACCTTGGTCATCTCACGCAGCAACTGGCATCATTAACCCTCGGCGCGCATGCGCAGCGAGGGTTACAGTACTTGGGTCGTCTGTCTGTCAGTCTGTCTGTTACTCTTTATCTCACTTCTCGAGTGTTCTTTCGTCTCACAAAGGATACCATCTACCCAACGGGCGATGAAGGTCAGAAAATATGTGGGGTTTTCTCTGAAACTGCTCCGTTGCAAAGCTAGAGCGCGAAAAAGCCAATATGCAAATACACAACGGTACTTCGGAGGCACCAGAAGATGCAACGCAGGGCGTGTATCGCCTCTCGCATGCTATCTAGTAGTGTAGTTAGCCCGCATCAGACTCTGCGCGAGCTGGCAAGAGACCACGAATAACAGCTAAAACTAAACCCAGCCCATCAATTAGTGGTACGGCGCATGCGTTTACTTACGCGTGCGCGTCACAGTGCGCCGAGGGTTTGCACTTCAGTGCTTTTCATATTATTTTAGCATTTAGGATGGGAAACGCTAATTTCACTAAATTTTATGGCGCACAAAAATTTCTGGGTTTACAGTAATTACTGCATGTCTGCATGGACTCTCCTCACACAAGTGAGGGTATATGTACCTCTGAACCTCCAAACAAGGCACGCTATATATGAGGCAAACAATTTTGTCCCTTGTAGAGAGGTTGTCCCTATCTCGGAGGTAAAATAGCAAAAAAAGTGTCCTTTGTAGAGCGGTTGTCCCTATCTTGGACGGTCCTTTATCAGAAGTTCCTCTGTACTACCATTCCTCACAACCACTCTCTCCCCCTCTCTCCCCCCACCTCCCTCCCCCTTATACACATCTCTCCCATCTGTTCATCTCAATGTATTACTTTCTCGTCTTTCTACCCAATCCTGCCCTGTCCAGTTGCTGCGTGAGATGACCAAGGTGATGAGAGAGTGCTGGTACTACACCAGTACCGCCAGACCCACTGCAGTCTACCTCAAGAAGAAGCTCCTCAAGATGTCCCAGGAGCTGGAGAAGATGAACTATGGCGACCATGACATCCAGCAAGCCACATAACATTACATAATAGCTAAACTGACATTCATACTCCAGTCTGTCTGCAAACAATTTTAATCGCTTCATTATTATCATCTCATTGTCAGTGAGCATTGTAAATGGACTTATCAATCATTTAGAGTTGTATATAAAATTATACCGTTATTTTACCGTAGAGCTTATTACGCATGCGCACGACAAGCCGTTTGCGCATGTGCAAAACAGCATGTTGCCGCTGTGTGTGTTGCCTACGGCGTCGTCTTCGCTTTCGTGTCTGTCTGTCCTAAGTCAGTTCCGTCTGGATTGCGTATCGTCCAGCGCAAAGAAGCTCGGATATAACTAGGACCTGGTGTGAATTCCTGCGAATAGTGGATAAAAAACCGAAGTCGTCGTATTTGCGCCGCAGGGAAACGCGCTCGTCCGTGCCGCTGGACGTGACAGCTGTTTCAGTTTTGACAGGACAGTAACTTGCAGGGCCCCGTCAGCCGCTCTCCCACTTCAGCCGACTGTTATGCCTCACAGTGCCGCCGATTCCTCGCTGGGTCTCCTCCAGCTGTGTCTCCTGCTCGGAGTATTATGCTTCGGTGAGTGTTGCTGTTTAGTTGAGTTAGCGGATATATTATAGCTAGCCAGGTATTTATTTGCCGTACCTACCTACAGCAAACGCTGCATTATTTAAGAAACGCAGATTTGTAGCCATTCACTTCAGCAGCACGCTGTTGTAAACGAGCTGCTAACCTTGTTTCTCACTGAATACCACGTCATTTACGAGGATATGTGTTGGTCAATGTGAATATGGAAATTTACAGCTGCTCTACACCAATACTCAGCAATCTTTTACTTTGCCCTCCCTCCCTAGTTAGCAAGATTGCGTTGTAGCTGGCTATAGTGTTTGCTTTTTGCGATGTGTCGCACACATCTCTTGTTGGGGCTCCATTGAACCCAGCAACAGATACTATAGCTACACTGCACGAGAGCATACCTGTCCAGTTCCAGTTCATCCGTTATTTACCTTTGGTGGAACCCGGCCAGTGTCAGGTGGACACGTGGCATCTTTCACCTGTTAGGGCACACAACGTCTCTGCATCTTGGCTACCCACATGTCCTTGGTGGTCGAGATCACGTGCCCTCCCCACGTCGTGTTTGGGGGAGTGGACAGTGTGAGCCCCTCCTTGGTAGGTTCTCTGGGAGGGGCAAACACCTCCTTCCGACCCGGCTAGGAGTCACATCCTGGTGGTGGAGATTCGGCATTCGGGCGGATGGAGGGCATTCCGAAGCCGAGTCTCATTGTCGTATATACTGCCTTCCTTGCCTCTTGTTAACTGCTCGCTTTATGTGCTCAGGTTATGTGAGCATTTCTATATAGTGCCTACCCATGCACCATTCCTGCCGAACTACTGCTAAGAGCAGTCCTCTGTTCCCATCGTTAACTACGTTTAATACATTAAACTCCATTTATAGTAGTTATCTGGCTGCACGGTGCTGTGGAGCCTGACCATTTGTCCAAGTCTTGTACAGAGCACTGTGTGACTAGCCATGCACTGCAATGAAATCGATTGCATCACTGCACTGTGTATGTTCCATCATACATGTGGAGTGACTGCATGACGTCTGATAGACTGGCTCTATATTCTGCTGTAGTCCAGTGTTGCCTTTACACACATCAATACATTTGCACATGCACACACACACACTGTTGAGGTACAACACGTTAATCGGGTATAACGTGTCCCAGGCAGTTGGTTCAAGTGCGCACACACACACACACACACACTCTCATACAGCTAACAAGGTGTTTGTGTGTCTGGTGCCACTTGCATCGTGTACATAAAGGTGTGGGGACTTTGGCAGGTCCAGCCACCATAGAGGCAGTTCAAATGCAATAAGAAGGCCCTGTTTTTCTGGAAAATCACCTTTAGTGTAGGTTGAAAGGTGTAGCAAGGTATTGACTTTGACAAGTGTTGCTTCCTCTGCATGTTATTCATGTACATTCTGTCTTGTAGCTATGTTCTTGCTTGTCGTGCAGGGCAGTCTAGCTACTAATGCTGCTACACATTGATCAACCTTCAGTGAAAAATAATTATTATGAAGTCCCTTTGGACGCCATGGGTATCTCCTTGAATAAGAGGAAATTGATGTATAACATAATTATTAACGCCTTATAACGTTATATAAATTCTTATGTACTTGTGGAGGCTCTTGGCATTTATATGCCCGTGGCTGGTTAGGGACAAGTATACGTAGTTTTCCTACAAGCTCGTGGTCTACCTTACGCAGTGCTGTGTATAGGTGAATAATCAAATATGTGTACAAATCCAGCTGACAAAGTGTATATACTTGTGTACAACAGCTTCATGAAATGAAACTTATGTTTAATGTTTCATCCAAATGGCATACCCATCTTGTTATATACAGGCCGTGCTGAGAGCATCCAGTGTTACTGTGATGAGCGTCCTGGTCTCCCGTCCCCAGAGTGCCTGCTGCCCCACGAATACAGATGTAACTCCACCAGAGGCTGCTACCTGCGTAGGTGGTACTCTGAGCAGTTCGGGAGGATCAAGCAATCGTGGGGCTGCATCGAGGGCCAGCACGGGACCGGTGCCCAGTTTGATCTGTGGGAGGTGTACTGTGGTGCATTGAACACGTCTAAAGAGGTCTACAAGTGCTGCAACTCCAGCGATTTCTGCAACAGACAGCTGAGCATTACGCTCGAGATTGAGGGGCAGGAGCCGGTTTTACCCCCCACTCCGTCTCTGACACTCACTGAGCCACATATCAGTAGAGGTGAGGCAGCACTAATGCTGTACATGCAGTACTTGTGCTTTATCGATCAGTTTAAGAATTAAAAATAATTTCTGTGCAACCTAATGTGGAGAAAATTTTAAAGTTGTCCCTTGAGCCCCAAAACTGTATGGTTTACTTGTGCTATAGCTACCGATCAGTTTAATGGGTAAGCAGTAGATATGCGGGCTCCAAAACTAATGTGGCAGAATTTCAAAGATGCCCCTTCAGCCTCAATATTTAAAACCCTATGCAAGGTGAAGCGGCATCTTTGAAATTCTGCCACATTACTCCAAACTCCATTCATAGCTTTGCACCATTATTGACGTTGGATGCTTGCAGTCAACACTGAGTATTGCTACTACTATGCGTTCACATGGCTATTTGTCTTACACATGTAGTGTTTTATGTACAACTGCATAAAATCTCTTTTTAAGCAGTGAAATATTGACATGTCGGTGACAGCTGTCAAAAGGGGCACCATATGTCTTGGGGGCAGGTGGCTGTGAGGGGGGAACAATGGGGGGTCAATACAGGGCAGGCCGTGCCGGGCTAGACACACTGGGGCATTATCCTCCATATACACTACACTATTCACACTCCCCCTCTCTCTGCCAAGACGTGTGACTGCAAACTCCATTCATAGCATGTAAAAAGGCTGTGTCGATACCTCTTGTGGGGAGTGGTTGATACATGCTGTCCATATATGTTGGAGCACCATGGAATCCAATTAACCTGGAGCTGCGGTCGGTTAAAGCAGTGACGTCTGTGCGATTAGGTGGCTAATAAGAACATTGCTACCATCTTTTACGAGATACTGTATTGTAAACACATTTACTCTACCTACAAAAGGTCTGTTGAAAAAATGGATATATATCACACCATGAATGAGCACTTTCCCCTCTATAATTGTGTAGCAAACTGAACCTCAATACACTTTGTCATCTGAGTGGTTATGTAGATTTTTAGATATGTATCCGATTTCGTCATACTTGACAATGCCCCACTTCACTCTCTATATTTGCTCTTTTGGTTACTTGTGCTGCTTTCGTTGTAGTTACATGTTATATAATATACATACTGCAGTTGTAACCCTCACCTTACTTGAACGTGTTCATAACCGAGTGTGACAGTGTCGCAGATACGTACACAATTGCACTGTACAACGACTGTAGGTTTGCTACCCAATAATAAGGGAAAAGTTTTTGAGAGAAAACTAATTCATGATTCAACGTCCTTTCGCTTGGTTTCAAAGAATTGTTGTATATAGGCACAAGAATATGAACTACTGTTAAGCCAAACTTGCATTGCATATCACTGAGCAGTCATGTTCTGGAGAGCATTCAAGTTTGTTGTGTACCACCATGTTTTATTCTGTGATGCTGCTTTGATGGTAAAATGTAGGTCCAATTGAGTTACGCTCTACCTAACGTTGCTCAAGCCTTGTTTGTTTATGTACAAATCCCAAATCAAACTCCTGATGTCACCCTCATCCGCACACTCCACACTACTTCCCACATAGCTCCCTGCCAAATGAACCCTCACTCTGTCCCACAACAAGGTCAACGTTTGTGTCGTAATTCTGTACATGTTTTTTTAATTCACTCGTGCTTTAAATGGTAGAAAGCTGGCACAACTTTGTATGAACCCCACACTATCCTGCAATTGCAATGGTTTTGTAAGCGCGTAAGCACTGGCTACCCATTAGCTACACTTAGTCAAAAATACCGCCTAGTTTGGACTTGTCACTTAAATTTGATAGGTGAGAAAGATTATCTGTGTAAGTGATTCATCTCCACAGAAGCACTTTGCTGTACACTATAATCTCTCATTACTCTCTCTTTATCTCTGCTCACTTTCTCCACAGGGACCAGTATCATTGTGATAATCGTCGCAGGCACCGTGTCCCTCGTTGCACTACTCTGTCTCCTACTGCTGCTCTCCCTCTTTCTCATTCTGCGGAGGAGACAACGACTAACGAACGGGGGCAACCTCAATCACCATCCCACTGCGACTGTCCACTGGACCAACCACAATCGCGTAGATGGAGTTATATCTAGCACGTTGAGAGAGGAAGCGACTTGCCCATGCTACCAAGTTCTGAGTGACATACGAGACATCGTAAAACTCAACTACCAGATAGGGATCGGTAGGTTTGGCGTGTTTTACCACGGACACTACGAGGGGACTGCAGTTGCCCTGAAAAAGTTTTCCGACGAGCACCACGCTGCCTGGCTGCGAGAGTCACTCATGTATACGAGCATTCTACAGCCACAAGAGAACATGTTGACTTTCTATGCCAGTGCCATAGCAGTTGGTAACACGGACGTCGCCGGTCGCAGTGGTGGCAGCGGTACCGGTTCGGAGCGGTGGTTGGTGACGCGGTACTACGAGTACGGGTCCCTGCAGGACTATCTACGACAGCACACGGTGCCTGGCCGGACGCTCCTCCAGATGTCCGCGTCAATAGCCAGTGGACTGGCTCACCTCCACTCTGAGAACTGCGGGAACCAGGTAAACGTCCCCGTTGCCCACTGCAACCTAACGAGCAGGAACATCCTCGTGAAGGATAACCTTTCGTGTGTCATCGGGGACTTTCGCTGTGCAGTGTTCAAGCTCAGGAACGAAACGAGTCGCCCCGAGGGGGTGGAGGAGGAGGGGAAGGAGACGACAGCTCGCGGTGCAGTCAGGTACATGGCTCCAGAGGTGCTGAGTCAGCAGCCGGGCGGGCTGTCGTTTGAGACGTTGAAGCAGGCGGATGTGTATTCCCTGGGGCTGGTCCTGTGGGAGGTCTGCCAGAGAGGAATCTACACTGGTGGTGAGCTACATATTATACAGAGGCTTTGTGTCATGATTGTTTTGACTTCATCCGCTGAATAACAAAAGTGCAATTTATACTGTTAGTCTTAAGTTGAACATGCAAGTGCTACTTATCCATCCACTTTATTAAAACCCACATTTCTGTATTCTTACCTGAAGTCTGCCTGGTCGTGTAATGTAGAATACATTATTCTTAGTACAGAAGGACAGAGACCAACTTCTTTCTGTCTGAGGTCGAATTTGGGTATACATAATAGCTGTAAGTTTGGTGCACTATAGCTACTGGCTGAGATACAACACTCACAGACATTGGTACTGCCCCTGAGTTCTCAACCCTGAGAGAAGTTTATTTCTATCCTGTGCTTTTTGATTATCCTGCACTAAAAGGGGGTTAAGGAAATATCTTTCATAGCTGCATGATTGTGTGTCACGCATACACAATTTCTCTGTAAGTTAGCTATCCTTCATTGTTTGTGTAAGGTAGTAAAATAGTGTCTGTCACAGCTACATCATGTACATGCAATGTCCCACATGTCGATCAGTGGCAGCAGAAGGCTACCAGGTCCCGTTCCAGGGTATGGTACCACCAGAACCAAGTCTGGAGGACATGCAGAGATTGGTGGTAGATAACAGGGTCCAACCCACCATCTCCAACAGGTGGACCAACTCCAAGGTAGCTACTGAACCCATGTCGTATTTTACTTTGAAATAGTAAAAGATTGAGCCACTACAGTATAGCTACTAAAATAAACACACAAATCAGTGAGAGAGTGGAACCTCCAAACAAGGGGCACTATGGGGCCAGTGATCCCTTGTAGAGAGGTCGTCCCTATTTCGGAGGTCAAAAATACAAGAAGGATTAGCATGGTGTTAATACTTGGTGTCCTTTGTAGAGAGGTCTTATCAGAGGTTCCACTGTATCCAGTTGTATATAGTTTTGTTGCTGAACTTTCACTCTGGCTGTCCCCTTCTGTGCTACATGAACTTATTCTTGTATGCAGTTTTGTAAGGTTGATTTGCTCCTCGACCCTGTCCAGTTGCTGCGTGAGATGACCAAGGTGATGAGAGAGTGCTGGTACTACACCAGTGCTGCCAGACCCACTGCAGTCTACCTCAAGAAGAAGCTCCTCAAGATGTCCCAGGAGCTGGAGAACACAGACCCTGCCACTGAGAATGAGGCAACAGTTCCCAGGAAGCAGCCTGAAGAGAGTGACAGACACTCTGGAGAAAAACTCCACGTTTCAGCTATTTAGCTCTGTACATAATACAGCTGAAAGTTAATCATACTAGAAATTTATTCATTTCGGTAATGAACATCTCTGTATACCATGACACATGTCACTTCTACACATCAACTTCTTGTATCATTTTTGCTGTGATTAAATGAAACTTCCACTGACATTTTTATCGAACGGTGATAAGTGTGTAGCTACGAGCAATATTCACGAAATGCAAGGGTTAATTAGTCGGCAAGAATGTTATATAACACTTTCGTACATGAGCAATAGGTACCCAGCCTACCTGGCAGCTCAATGGTAGAGCACTTGGGCTTTCTAGAATGTTGTGGGTTCCTATATATTCCTACCTGAGGCAAGCTCTTTTTCCCTAGGTGTAAAATATTATGTGTTGTTTGCGCACTTGCCTTGCGTCGCCCATTCTACCACCGGAGACGGTCAACTAAGCAAGCAACTACGCTGCCTTCTGCTTTTTAACACATTAAAAAAACCCAGTGTATATGACATAGCTACAGTGGAACCACCAATAAGGGACCCTCCAAGGAGGTATATAATTATTTGCTGCAAAGAGCTAAACATGATTTTTTGAACAAATCCAGAGACCAATACAAAAATCGCACAACACTGCAATTTGGAGAAGAGAGTAGCTACAGAGAGTCATAAAAAAAACAGAGAGGGACAAAATGAGAGAGATAGAGCGTGATAATTTGCTCTCTACTGCTCTACTGCCTCAGGACTCAGGAGTAGAGCAATGATGTATAATTAGCTCAATAATAAGCCAGACGATACTCATAGAAAGGATCCCTCAGGCTAGAGGTGTAGGCCAGGAAGGCGCTATCATCGTGTTTTTGCAATCTGATCATCTCAGAAGGAGAAGACCTGCGTGATGAATCTCCGTGTACATGCTGTAACGGTTGACAGGCAATAACAGACTCTAGCTTAAACAGCCCTGATTTCAATCTTATGTTGTGCAGTCATGAAGCACAATGTGAAACCAATGCAGCAACTAAATTTCTCACTGTTGTTATAAAGAGGAGGTGTAGGGAGTGAAATAAACAGCCACATGGTAAAATATAAAGTTCAGTTTATTGGGTGCTCTAGTGCATTAAGGCCTGGGTGCATCAAAATCATGGAAAATTTCAGATTTTTGTTTGTTTTGAGAGTGTCACATTACCTTTTACTTTCAAACTTGGTAACGTGATAAAACTCATAGGTCTTAACTCCCTTAACAAATTGTGACCACGCCCACATTATTTGTTTGTTTGTTTACATGTAATTCGTATATGCGTTTAGGCGGATTGCTTACACTTCGAATTAAGAATTCATCTTGAGCTCAGAGAAACAAGTACATACTAAAGTAAATCTTTATCCAACGGGGAAATGAAAAAAACTAATAACGCGTCGATAACGAACTAAAATATCGAAACCGCGCCCAGTTTTACGATAAAAACGGGCCCTGCATCTAAAACTGTCAAGTTGCTCACCTTCCCCGTTGGATAAACAGTCAGAGGACTTTGCGTTTGTCTTTCTTAACGTAAAAAAGTAGCTATAGACTAAGCGGAACCCTTCCGCCTAAGCGAAAACAGTTGTGAAAAACTTACTACCCGTCCGCGTTCCGCGCATGCGCATATTCGTAAAATGACGTCCGTACATGGCGTTATTCCGTATATTTTCCGTGAAACGTTACTACGGGGGCGTGGTTACGTGATTCCGTCCAGCTTCCGGTTTGCTGCTCGCGGACAGGCCTTAACGCACCAGAGTGATGTAAATTCACGATTTTGTGAAATTTCTCACGACAAAACTTTGGATATACAGTGGGTCTCACTTAATAATTATCATACCGTTTAATAGAATATCCCTTTATATTCATACAAACTTGAAATCCAAAACCATTTCCTATGCTTTCTACAGCCTTGAGCCTTGAGCTGGAGTTTGTAACTCTCCATTCTCCACCTGGCTTCAATTAGCTTATGTAAACAGCTAGGCTAGCTTAGCTTAGCTAAACAAACTGCATTGTGCGCTATCTGGGTCGAAGTGAACGTTGGTATACATAGTATATACAGTATACACACCCGCAGTGTACATAGTATATACAGTATACACACCCGCAGTGTACACAGTATACGCACCTGCATTGTATAATATAATATCCCCATATTATCATTTGTGGACCTACGGTGGGTATGATAATATTAACCAGGACCCACTGTATTAGCCGTGATACATGTAATACACACATATTGCCCGTGCTGACACAACCTTAGATGATGTTGTCAGTCTCCACCGACTTGCAATGTGTGATAATTATACAAACACAGGAGGAAATCAGCACCACAGCATCATAATACTGTGCCTATGATACATAAGGTATGAGGTGAGCGTGCTTGCTTGTGTGTGTGGGTGGCGGGGAGTCATTATGTAGGGTCATTGAGGATCAAGACTGGACCAATATTCATCTCTTGTGCTGTGCTCTTGTGGGTGTGGTTTCGGCTTTCTCCTGACTCCGCCCTCCCCCTCCTCTTGACCAGCTCTGACCCCAGACTCCAGCTGCTTAGTCTTATCAGGTCTCAAGACTCTTGTCTCCAGACGAATGAATGCCTGCTTCGCTGCTTGTCTCCCACCCTTCACAAGATCCTTCATACCCTGTTGGTTTTGAGGCAGTGTTAAAATTGGCCATGAACTAACTATACATACATAGTTGTCAATTCGGGATGCGCATAATGCATAACTGTGATTACCATGGCACACCCACAAATTAACGTGCTGGTTTGTAACTGTGTCCGGCTTTCTTCGTAGCTGTTGAATTGGACTAAAGAAGGCACAGTTTTTATGAAATCAGGTGGAAGGTCGAGGTATGTGAAATTTGGGAACATTTTGGGTACAGTGGGTCCCAGTTAATATCATACCCGCGGTGCATTCAAAAAATACGATAATATGCGGGATATTCTATAATGCAGGAGCTATACCGTGTATACTGGGGTGAGTATATATACTGTGTATACCCAATGTATATTGTGAACCAGCAATACAGTTTGTTTAGCTAATCTAATGAAGCTAGCTGTTTACATAAGCTAAATAGAAGCCAGGTGGAGAATGCAGAGTTGCAAGTTTGTAGAATACCTAATTACGCATGCTCGATTATGACAATATGCGGGAAAATCCAAAATTGCTAAAAATTTTTCTATGGTAATAGGCGGGATATGACAACGGAGTAAAATGTATGGGAAAGCATAGGAAATGGTTTTGGATTTCAGGTTTGTATGATTATAAACGGGATATTCTATTAAACGGTATGATATTAAGTGGGACCCACTGTATTTTGGCCTGGACAGCAATGCTCATAATTTCAGGACTGCCCCGGCCATTCCAGGAGTGTTGTCAACTACGATTAAAATGCATACCTCAGACACTCGTGATTGCCAGGAGACTGAAGGACTCCTCATGTGCCTCTTCAGTAGCTCGTAAACATCCTTATGAACACCAGCAGTAGCAAAATACAGAGCTGTCAGTCCATTCTAGAAAATCAAGGAGAGGACAGCATCATTGACATTGCATTTGAGCGTTAAATGGTTTGCTACTCACATGATCTCTGAGATGAGGGTCAGCCCCTCCCTTGAGTAGTAATTTTGTTGTCGCTAAATCTCCTTCGTTGGCAGCAAAGAAAAGCGCTGACCATCCATTATTGGTCTGATGGAATTAGTATAATTTTGACTTACAAGCTCTTGTGGCCTCACTCATACAGTGTCCTGATTTTCCATGGTGGCTACCTCAGTGAGAAAAAACTCGTGCAGCTCTTTTTTCCTAGTGGCCGTTGAATTAACATGCATTTGCCTTGTGCTTACAACTATGATTTCTCGCAAGGGCACTCAGGCTTATATACAATGAACCTAAGTCACTTGGACTTGCTGTGTTTCATGCCAGGAACCAATCAAATCAACCATTAGCACAGTTCTTGCAAGAAAGATTTGTGAAATTGACACACGCCTTTGTTTAAGAATAAAAACACATGAAGGTATTAGACCATGTGATGCCAAGAGAAAAAAGATGCGGAGCTCAGGACAGCTGCTTGTTGGCCCTCATCAGCAGAGCACACATGCACAATATGTTGTGCTTTTGGTTCCCAGCCTTGGAACTTATCATAATATATGACCTTATTACATGGGATGCAAGGCATTTTTCTGGTACATAGCTAGCTACACATCTTACACTCTGAATATCAAGACAGATGTTGGGTCCTGACAGAAGTGTCTCTGAAAGATCAGTTCTAGCAGATGTTGAGGAGATCATGAGAGCGGTTAGCATCTCCTTGTAAGGGAAGAGAGAGAATGATAATACCGTGATCAAACCTGCATATCATAGTCAAGATGATAGGATACCATGCCTATCCATTATGTAGCTACATCATCCGAACGAGGAACATGAGGCCAACAATTTTGTCCCTTGTTGAGAGGTCGTCCCTATCTCGGAGGTCAAATAATGGGTTATACTAAGTGTCCTTTGTATAGAGGTCGTCCCTATCTCGGAGGTCAAATAATGGGTTATACTAAGTGTCCTTTGTATAGAGGTCGTCCCTATCTCGGAGGTCAAATAATGGGTTATACTAAGTGTCCTTTGTATAGAGGTCGTCCCTATCTCGAAGTATAAGAGGTTCCACTGTACTTAGTAGGTCACCTGGTTCTGTAGGTTGAGGTCAGCTCCAGCTCTGACCAGCACCTTCAAGACTGACAGATGGAACTTTACTGTGGCCAATATCACAGCTGAGTCTCCTCTCTGTGGAGTGAATAATAGCAAGGAAGAGTAATATGCACTAGCAGGTCTATGTGAGCTGCAAAAAAATTGGACATAGAGGGTGAGCATTGTGTGTTAAGGTACTTTCTCTGCTTCACGTCGACCATTGAAAATCTGCCTTATTGCAAAGGTTAGCTGTGAGAAAAGTGTGCCCCAACCACAAGTATGGATAGCATATGCTCTCTCGCCAGTTCACGGCTGGCGCTTCAGTTACCACGTTTGGGAGTTTGACAATCATTGTTTTTACTGACACTGAAATTAATATTGGTCTAGCAATCTCTGCACTAACACTATACATGTGTGTTTATAGTGACACCATAATTAGTAGAAGTGTTCAGGAATGTTCCACAGGGTCATAGCTATAGCTAGACAGTACATTTGTATGTCAAGGGTGGGGGTATTACCTTGTAAGTCACACATTCTCTTACCTCATTCTGTAGGTCAATGTTAGCTCCAACCTTCAGTAGAAGTGACACAACTTCAGTCCTACTCTCACTGGCAGCCTTCATCAGTAGAGAGTCTCCTCTCTGTGCCATGTAAGTAACAGATGTACTTTGGTTTTAAAGGTATAGGTTAGAATAAAATGTTGTCTAAAAATACCTGGCACTCAAGCAATATCTTACCTCATCCTGAATGTCAATGTGAGCTCCTCCCTTCATTAGCAGTGAAACAATGTCAGTCAAACCCTTCCTGAGAGCCAACGCCAGTGCAGTCTCTCCGAGCTGTGTGATGAAAAACGTAAGAACCACATATTCCATACCGGTAGTGGCCTTGGCGCACATTCACGGTGAGGGTTATAGTACTTGGTTTATAACCGGGTGTGCGTGTGCATCTGTCTGTCTGTTACCATGTTTTCTGTCACCACACACAACAAGGTACCTCAAAAAAGCGATACTAACGGATTTAGCGCTACACAGGCTTTATTAACCTTCGGTGCACATGCACAGCGAGGGTTGTTTTGTGACGGTGTCTGTCTGTCAGTCTGTTACCCAACATCTCACTTCACGAGCCATCAATCGCTCCACAAACAATACCACGCATTCAGTCGGATAAAGGTCGAAAAATATGTCGGGTCTCGTGAAACACGAGCGAAAAAGGCAATATGGTAACCAGAACAGGCTTACCTCGAACAGGTCCGCTTACTCTGTGTATCTTGGAGGCACAAGAAGTCAAAACGAAGGGCGTGTATCGACTCCTGCATGCCATCTAGTACTACTGTAGCTAGTCCATGTCAAACTCGGCGAGCTACTAGCGGGAGACCACGTGTACAATAGCCCACCCATCAATTAGCGGTACCGCGCATGCGCAGTTCTCCGAGGGTTTACAGCGGTTTTCATTCTTCTTGCACCTTCAAGAGCGCAAAGCGCTGTGCGCATGCGCGTCTTATTGAGGTATTTTTATCTCCTTTTCTTCAGCGTGGTTTCCTTTGAGCAGCCCCCGGACTAGTGAGTACTCAACTCAACAATAATATTCTCTATCCGCTGACGTTGTTAACGGCCTGCTCCTTTGCCTAAAAGCGTGGAGAGAGTATTGTCGGGTAGGATGGATCCAACGAAGTCCAAAGTCTATTATTTGGTGACATTGATCGGCAAGCTGCTGGACAACATACATCTGTCTCGGTGTAACAAGGTCATCTAGTCTCGCGGAACTAGCACCGCGCAGTTTATTGCATCAGTTGAGAGGTGTCTCGGCAGTCACCCCGGATGAAGCCACCGCTGTCTGAAAACGGGTCGCAGGTATTCTTATGAAATCAAAGC